ATTGACATTTTGAGTTCATTTGATTTAAATTGAACGAATGAGCGCCATCTTCATCGCATGAGGGAGAAAGAGAGAAAAAGATCAACCTATAATTGTTGCCAGATTTTCATATTACCTGATCCCATTGTAGCTCGCAGCTATGAAATGAATCAATTGATAATAATTGATTCGTATAAAATGTCATATTCGTTCGCTTTTTTTCTATTCACTGCCGAAACCGAGAAGGTGAATGATCTGCAACTGATGGGAAATGAAAGAGGATCGTTAGAGTGAACATTTACAATCGTAAGCATTTTTTTCCTGGGGAGACCGTTGCTGTGTGAGACAGATTTTAATTAAACTATGTGCAAGAAAACATACCTACTTTCAAACAAAGCACGCAACTTATCAAAACATCCATCGAACGCCTTTTGATATGATTGATAAGTTGCTATGTGTTCGCACGATAGACATTTCGGACTCGCCGGTGAATGAAAATGAAAAAAACACACACACACACACACAAACATAACCGTTCGTGTGCTCTCACTTTTGATCATTATGAATCGATTATCATTGTTACCCATACGAAAGTAAGCGATCAAAATGCGCCAAATCATCACACGGTCATAACAGTTTCCATTACGTATTTCAAAACACAACCGAAAAAAAGTCAAAACGTTTGAAGGAAGAAAAAAAATTATCACACACACGCATTTACACATTCACAAATGTCGTGGTGATGTGCGTGCATTGGCTGATTCGCCAAACAAAAAAACACGGTAACACAGAGACCGCAATCCTGCTGGTTCATGGGCCGTTCAACATATTTTGACATCTCATCAAACATCATGTATGTATCTTAAAGCGGATCGTTTGATGCGTATTCATTCGCATGTACATTTTCTTGTACTTAATTTAATGAAACGGTTGCTTTGCAAATGCAATCAATCGAGTAAGTACAAATCAAATTAAAAAAACTACATGCGAATGGGCAAATGAACAGCAACAACAACAACAACAATAGGAACAACAATGAAACGATGTCGGAAAGAATAAGCGAAAAAGCGTATAAACTAACTAGAAAACAAGCACACAAAAGAAATGAAACCAACGATGTAAAAACGGTAGAAGTATTAGCGCATTCACCGACATTACGTTTACCAATCGATTTACACACAGACGAAAATAAGAGGAAAGAAACATAGACGAACGTGTGACCTTTAAAAAAAAAATCTGGTTCTCTGTGAATTGATTCGATTTGAATAACGACACAATTTGTCCAATTTTTCATTTGTTCTGGTTCATTTGGTCGATTTCAGTGCTTTGATACTTGATTGCAACCAGATCATCCGACAGCCACTGCTCGCAGTCATTTGGTCGATTTTAACCATTTACTCGATGCTCGCCCTAGAATTTCCCAATTATCTCGATCTACTGCCATGGCACATGGCAGAAGACACACTTTCCGGGACAATCTTTCCAACGACAGACAGTGCAGAGCAATTTAAAGAAGACCAACGTCTAATGAATGATTTGATTTTTGGAATTAATTGTGTCACATTCCATCCAGTTGTTTTACTGCCAGCTAACATTCGTGAAATTAATTAGACAATTGCAAATTAAACCGCAAAAAGATCAAGAAAGCAAAGCAACAAAACGAGAGAGTGGAATGGTTTAACGACTGCTGCTACTGCTCTGGCTGCTACAACATTGAGATTTTCATTTCTTTTCGGTTCGCTATTCCAGCAAATTTCTTTCAATGAAAACCCATAAAAAATAGAAATGATAATGAATTGTGTATCGCAGAAGGAGTGGTTTACTTTCTGCATTCATATTTGCCAAAACAAAAAATGATCTATGCTAAAAATATGATACTTTTTTTTTCACAGATGGTATAGCAATAATGTTGGCTTGTGTACGCTTGCGTGCTCACCACCACAGCGCGATGACATTTCATTTTCTTTTGCAACTCTGGCGCACTCGCCAAACACGGATTTGTGATAATGATGTTCAGTGAGAGTGTGTGACCTAATCATTTTTGGCAAAGTTTTCTCTCTCTCTCTCCTCCTCCTTTCTGTACATTTCTATTGCTTGCCATCTGAAACTCTTTTCTAAAGAGAAACTGGTAAATAACTCAAGTAAGCATTGAGTAACTATTATTGAATCCCGTCTATTCAAGCACGCACAAGCATTTCTTTCGGTGGCTCATTTCTTTTTCTAACTCTCCACGGATACAAAAGAGAATGAACGGTGCTATGGAAATGAGAAAATGGCGCTTCACGACAACATTTTTAAGGCAATGATCAATTCAGTTTATGCAGTGTAATGACCCTCAGTTATATCTTATATGAATTTAAGATGAAACAAAAGTAAATAGTATGAGTCAGGGAACAATGGAACTGTGTGTGTGTGTGTGTGTGTGTGTGCGCGCCAGTGAGCGATCGAGTGCTTGTAAAGGAAATATCCATGCGAGCAATGACAGTCCATCGAAGCGATCTCTCACAATTAGGTGCCCAATTTTACACAAGACCTTATTATTTTCGCCACTATTTTTTTTCTTCGTTGTTGTCGACGACGTGGCTGTTGTTATTGTTGTCAAAGTCATTTCAATGGAACAATCTGTCAATGTTCACTTTAAAAGTCAGAACATAAAATTAATAGTCCATTGTTATAAGCTCCAAATAGTTCTTTTCGCCTAGCTGTTTTTACCACATTAAATTCTTTTTCCGCCGAAAATCGTAGCATTCTCAAGCTACACGAAAATTGGTTTCGTACAAAAATTCCATCTGAGTCATTCGCATGAGTGCAAAACCATCAAACAAAAACCACAATTATGTGTCGTTCATTATAGCTTGAAAAAAATAAAATAAACAACAGTTTATCTTTAACGTTTTGTCACTAATTTTTCCGGTTGTCTTCTTCGTTTCGACCAAAAACATACGATGAAATTGTTATTAGAATAAGTTTTGGATGTGAGTTTAGAATGTCGAGCGGGACGAAGCAAGTGACATATGGTCACGGCCAGCGTGGATCTATTTCTCGCCAAAATGGAACACACCACAATGTATTCCAGTTCGGTTTGGTTCAGGTGCCTATTAGAAATGACCAAATATAGGAATTATGGCGTATATCGGGTCGATAAACTATTAGTTCGAAAAATAAAATAGCTATAACCAACGAATGAATTCTAAATGGGAGAGCGAAAAGAGCGAGAAACACGCGTTGATAGCGGATTTTAGCCCATGCTAGGCCACGAATCGTTGGTGGATCGATTTTTGCGCGAGATAAACGCCATACAAAACCAACAAACATGTTAATTCCTACGAGTTTATTTTTTATGTCTTTTCTTCTGATATGCATACAACCTTTTACGGGCATGACTTACGCGAAATTCATCGTGTGTTATAATTTATGTTCCACGAGTTGGTTGTCAAATAGTTGGGGCTTTTAATTAAAGTGTGATTTGCCATTTGCAATGAATTCGATTTCGGCAAAATAGTTCTGCTCTTTCTCTTTGTCTGTCCGTCTGTCTGTCTGTGTTGTCGTCATCGAGCAACGGCTCATGTGCTTCGAATCTGCCTTCGAGTATTTCTATGGAGAGCGAATAAAAAAGACATATCGATGGCTTGTGGATAATATGTGTCATTGGGCATTCCACATGTAGGTGCAAAATGAGATAATGTTTTTTTTCTTTTTTTTTCAATCGGTTTTACGCAAACGGAAACTCGATACTTGTACGCACACATATTTTTCCCAAACGATGACACGAAAAATTCAGCGTAATCGACCGCATTATCATGCTCGTTGTTTGCATTGAATCAACACATCGATTTACACGACAATTTAAAACTAAGTGTGTACACCGGAGCGGGTGAGCGCGTGCGCGCGAACGCTTGAAATTTTGATTTTTCGTACCACAAAACCTGAATATCGATCGGCCGATTTGCTCGTGGTGTAATACACTTTCTTCTTCTTCTTTTTTCGGTTTTCTTTTCAATGTTTTGGCATTGAAACTTGTTCGAATGTTAACCAAATACACCATTCGCTATCAAAATATATATATATGTACGATTTTCATGCGCTTTTTGTGCCGAAGCTCTAGATGCAAGAAAATCATTGCATGTAATTCGTTTGTGTTTGCTATTGCAATATTGTTGTTGTTGTTGTTCCGACGCAAAACAGCTTCGATTTGCGCATGCAATTTCATTGCCGATTGAAAACAGAGTCGGAAACAAAATGAGAGAAAAAAAATCGTGCTATCATCATGGCGAAATAGAATTTGTGCGCAAGCGGTGTTTTTTTCTTTGGCGAAAAGAAAGAAAAAATATATAAGGCATTATGCATTCATCGCAAAAACCCACTTATTAGGTGATGCAGAACACAAACGTCGATGTGAATCGTTTCATATGATGTAAATTTGAGAGCCGCTTTGAATAACGCTGATTAGTCGAATGGAAGAAATATAATATGCATGTTACTCGATGCAGATACTAAGTCGAAAAATATTCTCACTAGCTGCTGCTAAGTTGTTGCTATCATTGTGTTTTTGTTTCATTCGAATTTGATTTTGTGAATGTTATATTTCATTCGCTTGTATTATTTCCCTTGGTTTTCTTCTACTTTTTTCTTGGCAGACTTGCTTTTTCCTTGTCTATCGTGTCATGCTCAGCACCATACACACATTTTTGATTGTAACCATCGAAGTGCATCGCGCGACGGCATTGGCGTTCACACCAATTTCATGAAATCGATTTTTTTTATTTAAACTGATCACACCGATAATAAGGTCAATATCAAGTCGATTCTAAGATCAACTTTCATTGCAACCAAAATTGCTGTTTTGTACGCGACGCGACGTGCACATAGCACAGAACACACTTGTTTGCAAGCACAGCTCGCAGACATCAAATGCGAATGAAACAACTCAATAAAATCCAGACGCACAAACACACACACACACAATTTTCTAATGGTTTCATTTCTCATTTCGTTTATCTTTTTCTATCTTTTTGCCCCAGGAATGTCAAAATTTGTTGGAAGAGAATCGCCGTTTGGTCAACAGAAATGGGTCAACCGAGATTATACACGGCCAAGACACATTGCTGCCAACCACAAACAATTCCGTCGAAGAAGCCGTTCTCCAAACACAGATCGAGACTCTACAATGGCAGTTGACTCAGGTACCAATTAACGGATTGAATATACATATGGATATATATATATATATAAAACAAAACCAAATCATTCAGAAAATAGGTGTTGAATATAGTGGAAAATGTCTAGCGCAAAAGAAAAAAAAATATAAATACAACGAAATATGATTTCATGTCGTTCGTTGTCAACACCACCAAGCCTGAATTGGCGTTATTCGTTATCTGTCGTCTTCAACTTGATTAGAGCCTATTTTAATGTAAATTCTTTTTTCGCTAATGATTTCTCGTTTTGCCGTTTGTGTGTAGGTTGAATCCAGTCGCCAAATGTATCATGCTCTGATGGAAGAGGTGGTACGATTTTTAGAGCGATGCTATCAAAGTATTGAGTCCATGCAAAAGAATAACAAAATTGCACGATCACGAAGCATCAACCACATGTTTATCGAACAATCGGCTCAATCGACGGCGGCGACGGCGGCAAAAACGGAACGTCGCATTAGCGACATTGGATCTCTGCGAAGCAACCTCAATATCGCTTCCGATAAAACCGGTACAAGTGCATCGACAACGGAAAAAGACCAGCTGAACGAATCGTTTGCCTCATCCATCACAACAGCAACAACCAACAGCACCGATTCGTATAACAATTTTACCGATTTTACGTGGTAAGTGCGTCGAGATAATCGTTGCTATTGAAAAATCGCCCATTTTCTTTGGTAATTAATGCGATTTTGTTTTCTTTTCTCTTCTACTTCTTCTTTGGACAGGCGACGATCCCCAAAGAAATCACCACAAAAAGGATTGAATGATGATGATGCTGAAAAATTGTCTCAGGAAGCATTCCGTCTGTATCGAACGGCACAGAATTTGCTGAATCTCAAAGAGCCCATTCTCAGTGAATCAAAGTCAATGCAATCATTTCACCGGAATTCATTGTCCGATCTGAAGACCACGGGATCGTATGCCGGGCCAACAACATTACAACGCAAACTGAAATCACGTGAAAGCCATAATTCGTATCAAAGCAACAGCACCAGTGACGGATCAGTCCATTCAAATTCATCATCGATTCGAACCGAAACGGATGAAGAAATCCATTTGGATGGCCGTAGCAATGGTCTGCCTGTGCTCAATGGCAACACAATTCGAAGAACGAGCGCAAGTATTCCGGACAAATACAGTCCAGCTGCTGAAATGGAGGCGATGACATTGGGCAAGGATCGCATTAAATCGGTTGCCAGCAGCTCGGCGGACGATGAAAGTGGCTTCAGTTCGATGAATTCATTTCACCATGAACCGAATCCAACATCAATGTTGCCACCATTAGCACTCAATTCAACCATGCTCTCGAACCAAATCTCATTGGAAGACGATGCTGGCGGCAAACCGAATCACCACCATCATAATCATCATGATGTACTTAAACCTGAACCACTCAATGGCAACACATTCAATTTGATTCAATCCGAAATGAAATCACTTCCGCCCGTTCTGCACAGAAGATTCGATTCAGCGCCACCAATTCCGCCAAAAAAGAAGCTCACCACATTCACATCGCTGAAAAATGAAAACAGCCCCGACAAAGCAACCGGAATACATGTTCTGTGGGTGTAATGCTGTTAGTTGCGACGGGTTTTGCCACACAAAACTTCCTAATTTTATACCAATCAGATTCTTCTTACATTCTTACTTACTTCTCTCTTTTTATAATTTCATTCGTAGCGTTTAGACTTGATTTTAACAGAATTTTTTCACATTAGACAATTTACATTAATTTAATTTCTCTCTCTTCATAGTGATACAAAAACAATTTATTATTATTAGTACATTTAGTTCCATGTTCAATTCGTGAATAATAAAAACGCAAATAGGGCCTCGGTCGTTTTGGAATTGTTTCTTGTACGAAAGTTTATTCCATCAATTCGTTACAACCTTACAACTGTTCCGAAGCGACGACACAAATACACAAGAGTCTATCGTTGATTTATGTTGATTTTTAGATGAAAAATTTGTTAGAAATACAAAAAATTTTTAAATGTTAAGTGAAGTTAGCAAGAAAACAGGGCCGAAATACAAGAAAGCACACAAAACACAATAAACATTGATGCGTAAGTTGTTTCATTTCAATGTGGCGTGCTCCATTCAAAAGCCGCACTTTCGGTAACAATTGAATGTTGAACATTTAGCCAGCTTTATTTCGAGCTTCAAAGCTACAACATCGGTCAGCTCCATCGGTGAAGCTCGTTTTGAATGAGCTTTCTTTTTGTCAAGGCAAGTATTTTTTTATTGCTTTTCGATAATCTTGCATTCTTCCGGTTGAAAAAAAGAAAAAATTTGCAACTCAAACCAAAATCCTATTGAAAAAAGAAATGACAACGAAAAAATGAGTTTGTTTCGAAAAGTTCTCGTCACCAGACTAAAAAAAGATATTGACTAAATTTCATTGTTTTTTCATTCAATCAAACTTCATCAAAAATGTAAAAGACGAGCTAAAAATGAGCCGAACATCGGGGAAGTAAAAAGAAGAAAAAAAAACAACACTGCATGCAAAGTGTCTATTTTCCAGAGTTTTTTCTGTTCGGGGAATGTGCTTTCTGCGCTTGTGTTGTTACTTCTACAAGATGCCATCGGTTGATGATGGTGATGACGTTGGTGTATGGTACGGGTTTGTTGCCGTTTGTCCAATTTTCCAAACAAAACAAGGAAAAAAAACAACAAACAATCACATGTACAACACAGCGAAACATATAAACCAACACGAGCTCATTTACTACATTGATATATACAATTCAGCTCATATGGAATGCGTATGCTTTCCAAGTAGTTTCAAACAATTGCAAAAAAAAAGAAACAACAACACACTTCACTGTGCGCTCCACACAAAAGACAGTACCAAGTATGGGAGAGATGGAGCGCGCGGACTGGATATGTGTGCTAGCATACATATGATACATGCACACACAGGCACAGGCCAGAGGGATAGAGCGAGTATTACGAGGGAAATAAAAAGCTAACCCCCGAAAAGGAAGTTACAACTGAATCGGATTGCCGCACCGTCTATAAGGAAAACCCATACGCTGACATAAAAATACACAAGCATATTTTTAAGCCACCCACACGCAATGGAAGCTCTGCAGAATTGTATACAAATACAAATACGCACACATTAGCATCATTTTTGCTGGAAAGCTCCGTGAAACTGGCGCAATACACACAGACCAAGTAACAAGAGATAGAAAAAAACACACAATTTCAAAGTTCTATATTTCGGTGAAACGGTGTGGCTAAATAACAACACGAAATGTCGAAAAATCCATTTGATACCATTTTTGCTGTGTGTTGTTGTCTCTTCTATTCTTGTACAGAAAAGTATATAAATATTTTAGTATAATTCGTTAAAATAAATCTTTTATTGTTATCTCTATATTTAAAAAACAAAATTGAAATCCTACAAGCAAGAAAAAAAAATTAGTTTAACTGAAACAAGTGGCAAAACGAGTGAACACACCGAATGCAAAAAAGAGAGAAAAAAGCAAACGAAAAGCAAAAGTTCGAATTAAAGCAATCGCAGCAAGTGTATAACAAAAAAAAAGTATTCGCGAGAGTGAGATAAAGTCATCAAAAAGTCTCTAGAGAAAAGCGCATAAAAAAGAATTATTTTCTGAATGGCAATCAGTTGACATCAAACAACGGCATTCTATGTTCGTTTTGTTTATGGAAAAATCAATTGGGATCAACGGCAGTTCGTTTTCATTCAAAGTGGATTACCAACAAATCATCAAATGCATACTCAATCAATTTTAGTGTAAGAAAAACATGAATTCTTTTTTTTGCCTTTTCTTTTGTTTTGGTTTTGCCTTATTTTTCTAATTCATTTAATTAAGCTTAGAAATTAGTGGTTTAGTGATAAAAAAAAATAACAAGTTTTGCCCCGTTCAATGTTGAAATTGGTTCCATTTCGTTTTGGTGTTGTGAACGCGAAATTTGTGGCTGCGTTTCTGATTTATCTCCGTTTAATAGTGAAATGAAATGACATTCTCGGTGTGTCGCCCGTTCCAACGGCTAAAGATAAAAAACAAACAAAGACTCAACAGGACAAAAAAAAACACGAATAAAATAAATATAAGTATAACATTTCAAGACTCGGAGCAAAGATCCAGAGCACACGATCAAAACAAAAGCAAAGCGAATCGAATAAAAAAAATAAAGAAGAAGTTGAAAGTCAACCAACTATAAATATCACACACACCTACGAAAAGACATTTCTTAACATCGCCTAACGATTTTTCACAAGTATCCCGCAAACAGCGAACGAATTCATTCGCATTGTTTGCATTTTCCGATTGCTGCATAGCTCTTCTCCTCTCTTGTCACCGTCACCGTCATCATCGTTGCCGAGTCGTTGTCGTCGTCGTCGTCGTCGTCGTTGCAAAACATCTATCATAAATGTATTGTACTATAGCCAAACGGCAGAGTCATATGAATTCGCAATCAGTGGGTATCGCGCGAAACCGTAGCAAATCCGTGTATCGAAAGCAAATCAAAATTAAAATATTCAACAGTGAAAATTTGCTAAATTTTCCCCTATTTTTACTCTCGCAATGTTTGTATTTCCGCGTTTTTACATTAATTTTGATTGTTTTTGCCATTTGTTTTGTGCCCTTTCATTCTCGCTTTTGCTGTCAATACCGTTGCGATAGAATCGAATCGTTGTTGTCGGTTGCTGGTGCGGCGTAATGCAATTAGAGGCGACAGAAAAAGATGGAAAACGCAATCGCTTCGTAAATTATCATTCGAATGGCCACGACACATAATGTCTTGGATTCATCAAATATTACCATCGCCATCACCATCACCAACCCCACCTATTTAACGAACCGAATGCACATAGTATTCGCACGCGCCCTCACATACGTACATATTCTTTGAAGTTCCCACACAAACACATTTGCCTCTTGTTCAATTTAGTTTTCCTTCGATGTCATTGCAAAGATGTATGTTTTCGTGCCATTTCTTGCATCGAATAATAATAATCGATTTCTAGTAACGTTCGAATACACGAAAAACACATCGACAGTAAGCAGTCCCGAAAACGTCAAATTAATGCTCAAATAATCTATAATTCAGCAAGAGTAATATAATCTGATGAGCATAGACATATATCTAGATCTAATATTTACATATAGAAAAAAATTCTGTCATTCCTTCCATTTCTGCTGACGATGTGCCCCGTCACTGTAATGACAATTTAATTTATGGAACCCCAAAAATTTTCAGCGTGCTAACGCTCGGTAATGTAATTGCCAGTGTGAGTTATCTGTGCACTCACAAAGTCCTAGCCCAACTATTTCTCATTGTTGTCTGTTTTTTTTTCTCTCTCCATATTTTCGACGTTCCAAATCCATTCAGAAGGTTATAACAATGGATTTGTAACTGTTCCAATGCTTAATTGGTACAACAATCTCCATTGCTAACTACAAGTCTCTTCATATCGAGCCGGGTTCATAAAAGTTTTGTGGTGCCTTTGCATATTTCCAGTTGTCACAATGTGTGTATCGCATTACATTTACGAGTTGGGTTTTGGATTTTCACTTTGGTGCACAAAGTTGCATATTTTGTGTTCAACAAAAGAGGTGAACAATGCAAAACCACAAGGAAATGAATGTAAAAAGACAGTGCAACAACAATGCACGTGGAAGAGGGCAGAAGGGAGCGAGAGCGAACGGGGCAAAAGTGAGAACGAGATAGAGGGATATAGAAAAGAATGTGCGTGGAGCCGAGCGCAACGGAAAAAAGGGAAAAAATGGATGGTTGGCGAAATGTGGATAGCTGCAATCACATTGCACATGTTTCAATATGGGGCTCGCTTTGACAAGATCGACAAACAAAATATGATAATTTTTTTCCTCTACTTTCTTCTTCTTCTTCTTCTTCTTCCGTTCAATATGAACTATGGCTCGGCTCTTCTTTTGCAAACACCATTTGCCGAATGGATTCGCACATATAAAGATGGTTTGCAAGCATTTTTGTTATAAATGTATTGCCAACCAAATCGATTTTCCATTTATTCTCTTCTCATACAAAAATAGAAAGCTTTAACATTGCATTTTATATACGATTCTATTCGATTTAGTTTGGTTAATGGGGTGTACAACTTAGCTATCTTTATAGTGCATGCACACACCATAACTTGGTCTTTTGATGGCCGTGACGGTGGTAGTGGTGGCGGCAGCGACAGCGACAGCGAATGACGTCTTGTTTCATTTGCTTTAATTACAACGGTACACAAATTAAAGAAGAGGTAAAAAACACACACAAGAGAGAAAGAACATGAACAAAAAGAAAAATTACTGTCGGAAATTGAATGCACTTGTTTTCCTAATTTAATTAAAATAGTTTCAAGTTTTCTGTTTTTCTATCTCCTGGTCTCACTCTCCACCTCTCTTCTCTTCTCTCTTCTGTGTCTATCGCTCCGGTCGTGATATTGAATTGATGCGCATGCTTCTTCGATTTACATGTTTTCCAACTCACGAGAGATCTGAACTCGGATTCTAGAACATGGCCAGGAAGGCACGATTCATTAACTATGTATAAAAATTGAACGGTGGATTGCATTTAATTGGTGTGTGCACTGTGGACATGGTCATGTTCAAATGGTGAAAATCGTGTTCGAAATTTTAGCACAATACTAACGAGTTTGTGTATTTAAATGTGATAATGAGGAGTCAGCTGAAAATGAAAACAAACACATCATCAAGTGAACAAAAAAAAAGAGACAAGCAATGAACAATGGAAACAAACAATTATTATTGAGAATTGGTCGGCATTGAATTGGCTTTCGGTTACAATTCGGAGATGTGTGCTGTGTGTGTGGCTTTGGATGGTTCAGTGTGCCAAAGTTAGAGAGAGAGAGAGAGAGAGAAAGACAGACGGAAGGAGTGATAATTCTGAAATAGCTGACAAATGATAACGAAGAAAAATTGTAATCCAAAACTGATCTAATTGCAGTTCCAACGAATACAGTGTATCAAGTTCATATCTTTAGCACATGCACAACTACACACACAGGCACGCATACAATTTCATATGACATCGGCTC